TGAGCCCGATTTCTCAGCCTTAGTCATCTCGTTGTTTGCCTTAATGTTGGCAGCTGTTATTATTACAATAGCTATTTCGTTCAAACTTCTTTAATTCAGATAAAATCTTTAGCATATGCCTGTTTTGGTGTTTAGACATATTCAAGCGTCACTCTCATCGTTTATCATGCAAACTGCTATCCAATGTAGTGTCTGTTCGACTTGTCTTCGTTATTGGGTCGGTCACCAGTGGAACTAGGCAAGTAATTTGATCGTCGGATCATTCCAACGTGTTCTTGAACGACTGAATGTGGATTGACGCCCACTGCTTGTCTGAAGAACGAACCATACCGTCAGCTTATCTTCGCCTAGCATCGTAGAAGGCAGCAATTCCGTCTGCTAACCCAGCCCGTTGTCGAATATGTGCCCTCGGAACGTGATCCCGAATGGAGACAAGGACAGCCCATTGATTTTTACGTGACCGTTTGGTTGGTCTACTCGGCTTTAGTAGCAGGCCAACATTCAGCGCTGTAGATCATGGCTGGAGGAACGGTTTGTCGACACTGAGCTACGACATATCAGGGCAATTAGTGGTGAATAACGGACTGTTATAGAGAGGCGAGGAAGGCTGCCATTCTGGCGGTTTCAAACTTTTCTTTACTCGCCTTATTTGATAGGAAACAGACCTTTGAGACGATTTCATTGATCGACCTTAATACGAGACATTACGGCCAATTTCAGATCAATTATAGACCAGTTTTATTTGTATACATATCGCCGAATGCTCCTTCGAAGTCAAAGCATCAACCCGTGCTTAACATGACGTAGTTCATGCGATGCCATAAACTCCTAGCCGTTGAAAACTTCATGTTGTTGTATAGCACTTGGCTTTTTGATAGCACTTGTTCCTCTGTAACCTCAAAATCTACTATCCTACAGATGATGAGTATGACGGACCTGAGTCTGATTTTGCACCGAAAGTGTGCTTCAAGGTCCTCTGTCGTAGACGCGTACGCTCGGAAAAAGTTTATGTCAAACTGAATGTACGAATAAATCAGTGAGTGAGTAGATGAATGGATTACTCAATGAGTGAATGAAGGCGAATGGCTTCATTTTAATAAAAGCATTACCGTATAATATTTCAATATAAAGACAGTATGAATTTTTCGACTATCCTGATCTCTGACACAACTTGCCAGCCAGTTTTGAACCCGCTTGCCTTCCACATAACCTTTAACAGTTCCCTTGTATTCGAAGCAAGTTTGTTATGCAACTTGGAGCGTACATCAATGAGCGATTAAAATATCTCAACCAAGTTTGGAACGAGGCAACGGCCGAGTTTGAGACAACCAGAAATTATGCATGTGACAAACTGGTTACAAACCACAAATAAAAATAGGCGAAATAAACCTCATATCAATGAAATACAGAAATATGAAACAATCCCAAGATTGAGTATTTCGTTCGTGCGTTGATGATCATACTGTAAACTATATATAAAGACGGTTTATTTATACAGAGCGCAAAGAAATTGGTCAATCCAGTGATTGACTAGTAGCGACGTTTTGGTTCGTGTCTCCCACGCTTTCATCAACGTGGACTGAGTTGATTTCCGAAGTTCGTTTTGTGATACGCAGTTGTTGTAATGCATGGAACCACAAGGCTGACTGTCTTACCTTTAACCCCTTTGACTCCAAACGTTACAGTAGCTGCGGATCCCAGTGCAACTTCCGAAATCAGTCAACTTCTGAAAACATTCACCATGTAGAGGGCCCTTGAGATCCGAGCCGAAACGTCGGTACTAATGAATCACCCGATTAACCAATATATTTGATTATGTAAAAAAATAAACCATGTTTATATACAATTTTTAAATAAGAAACAAAAGATATGCTGCCTACAGTAAGCACGATAGTCAAGTACTATTTTAATAAACTAAAATGTTAAATTAATGCACTGTGAGGCGATCATCAAGAGAGAGATGATAGTCCGTTAAACATGACTAAAACAGTAAGCTGTTTGCAAGCATTTGTATTCCAGTTTGTAATTTTTATCAAGTTTCGTTTCATGTCTGCGTTGATTGCAAGTCTGACAAAATAGGTCTACACTAAAT